GCCCACCATTTCAGGTTGAAGTTAAGGCTTGTCATCTACACCTTTGCACGGGTGAAGAGAATCCAGAGGAAGACGTGGTTCGTGCTCCCTCTACTATTTCAAAAAAATAAACTATGCTCATGGATACTTTTGTATTAATACATTGTTTTGGCCTGCGAGCCTACGTTTTGGCCATGTGTGGCCCATGATTAATTGTTGAATATTTCCGCTATTCAATTAATCTAAACTGTGATGTTGTGTATGTTTACTACTGAGTATGGATATATTATGTTCATGGACGTCTTGTATGATTAAGACACGTTGACTTGCGAGTGACGTCACTTGATCATACGGCGGTTGTACACGCGGCTAGATGCGGTCTGGGGCGTGACAAATGGGGATATTGAGCCCTTCAACATGGGAAGATGCATTCCTATTTCTCAACTAGCTTTTGCGGACGACCTTATGATATTCTTGAATGGATCTGCTAAATCTATAAAAAATTTCAAGAAGTTTTTTAGTCTTTACCAACAAGCTACTGGGCAACTAATTAATAAAGACAATAGTTGTTTTGTTGTGGGGAAATTTGCTACGGCTGGGAGGATTCTACAGATTGAGAATGAGTTGGGGATGAAGGTTTCTAAACTGCCTTTTAAGTATCTGGGGGTACAACTACATAAAGGCATTACACGATTGACTCATTGCAAGGAAATATTGGGAAAATGGATTTTAAACTGACTCACTGGAAACAGTACACTTTATCTCAGGGTGGGAGGCTTATCCTAATCAAGCATGTGATTAACTCCAGTCCTCTTCGTGTGCTAGCAGTAATAGATATTCCAGCCTCAGTAATTCACATAATCAACAAAAAGATTGCTAATTTTTTTTGGGGAGTCAAAGATAATAAGCCTAAATATCACCGGGCTAGTATGAAAAAGTTGTGTAAACCTATTCAAAACGGAGGAGTTGGTATTAGGTCCATTGTTAAAGTCTAGAAGGTCTCAGCCTTGAAAATATGGTGGGAGTATCAGAAAATAGGGTTGGTTTGGGCCAGTCTCATGAAAAGTAAATATGGTAGGAGGGCATTTGGTGACATTAAGCCCCTGATTCCCCAGTTTGGAGAAGGTTATGTCAGGTCAATGATGAAGCAGAACTCATGATGGACAGAGTTTCTACCTTGATCAAGTGGAAACACACTATGGATGGTGATTTCAGCACTAAATCAGCGTACAAGGCGCTTTGGAAGGGAGGGGGATGAGTTTATCAAATACATTCATTTGGCATAAAAACAGGTGCCAAAAATTAGGATTTTCCTCTAGAGGCTTTGGCACAAAAGTCTACCCTTTCCTGAGCAGATGATGCAGTTTTCTGTAGTCTATCCTTCGAGATCTCCTCTCTGCAAGTCAGATAATGCCTCACAGGATCATGTTTTACTCCAGTGCTCTTTTGTGAGGTCGGTTTGGAACTTCTTTGAAGGTTCGCTTCTGCAAAAGGGAAGGGAAAATAGTCAAATCAAACAGCAATTACTGAAATGGTGGAGTATGGTTAGGGGGAGATCGATGGATGCTCAATACATAGCAACTATACCGGGTTTAATAACTTGGCATCTCTGGAAAACTTACTGGGATGCGATCTGGAATGATACTAATCCGGAAAAAGAAGCAGTCATTAAACAGATCTGCAAGTTTATGGTGAACTGGTGTTATGCACATGATAATCTGTCCGGAAGTGAAAAATTAAAGGCGGTCGGGTTAATACCGAATACCTTCAAGGAGAAGAGACCAAAGGTCTTTCGATGGCTCAAACCACTACAGGGAAGGATGAAGCTAAACTGGACAATCTTTAGAAAGAGTGGTCGATCACAAAATACACCAAAATACACAAAATCATAACACACTTAATAGCCCTAGGTTCTAACTTACCTTGAGAGATATGAGCGTATGTAGTACACCCAAAGGGCCTTAAATGAGTTATGTTTGGCTTCACACCAGATCACATCTCCTGGGGGTTTTTGAAACCCACCACAGAGGATGGTGATCTGTTGATCAAGTAAGTAGATGTAACAACAGCTTCACCCCACATAGAATTTTTCAGACCAGACTCAATTAACATGCATCCAGCCTTTTCAAGAATAGTCCTGTTCATTCTCTCAGCAGTACCATTCTGCTGGGGGGTGCCAGGGACAGTTAAAAACCTTTTAACCCCTTCAGTTTTGCAGAATTTATTGAAAACATGGTTACAAAATTCAAGACCATTATCAGTTTTCAAAGACTTCAGTTTAAACTTGGATTGAGACTCAACCAGCCTTTTCCAGATTTTAAAACTGTCAAAAGTTTCATCTTTGGTTTTCAATAAGTAAACCCACACTTTCCTAGAAAAATGATCAATAAGAGATAGAAAATTTTTTCTTTCTCCTAGAGTTCCAATTTTAGAGGGCCCCCATAGGCCAGCATGGACCAATTCAAGGGGTTGAGAAGCAGTATAGGTAGATTTACCAAATGAGTGTCTAGTTTTCTTACCAAAAATACAGTTTTCACAAAAATTAATTTGGCTTGGTTTAAAGTCAATCATTCCATTTTTAAACAATTTGTTAAGTCCTACATTTCCAATGTGACCTAACCTTTTGTGCCAGACCTCAGTTTGTTTTTGAACAACAATGTTAGTATCAGGGGCAGCTATATTTAGCTCAGAGGAACCTTCATCAATGTAAAGACCTCCTTGCTTAACAGCTTTGATAAGATGACTTCCATTTCTGGAAACCATCTTAATGCCAACCCGAGTAACAATGCTACAGCCTAACTCATCAAATATAGATTCAGACAGCAAGTTTCTCCTCAAATAAGGAATCCATCTCATGTTTTGAATAACCCTAACAACTCCATCAAACATCCTTAAAGGCACATTACCTATACCATTAATATCCAAAGCAGTATTGTCCCCCAACATCACCTTTCCCCCATTGTACAAGTGTAATGAGGAAAAAATTTATTTGTTGGGGGTGGCATGTAAGGTACAACCAGAATCAAGGATTCACTCATTTTTCAAAGAAGAATCAGAACAGATAAGCAATTCATGTTGTATTGTGTTAGCAGACTCAGTATTGAAATTAGGATTAACAGTAGTTTTTTTGTCACCGTGTTTATCCCTTTTCTTTTTCCTACAGTCTCTAGCAAAGTGTCCTTCTATCCCACAGTAGTGACACTTAAAACCTTTCTTTTCAGAATTTTCCTTATCATTTTGTTTCTTCTTTTTAGAGCCATTTTTCTTACCCTTTGATTTACCCTTCACAACTAAGGCTTCAGATTTGATTTCAGCCTTTTCATTGTTCAAGGGATCATTCTTAGATTTGAACACTTTTAGGGTTTCATTCTTCTCTAAAATGGAATCAATGATCTTACCAGGGGTAAGATCTTCATTAGAGTACTGAATGACATCCTTGAAGTTATCAAACTGAGAAGGCAAAGAGTTAAGAAGAATGACAGCTTGATGAGTATCTTTTATCTTTTCATCCACTTTCTCAATTTCTTGTGTTAGTTTTAGAAAATTATCCAAATTATCAGAAAGAGACACAGAAACATTCATTTTAAAAGTGAACAACCTACACAACAGAGAGATTTTTCTAGACATAGACTTCTTCATGTAGGTGGATTCCAGGATATTCCATAACACTTTAGGGCCTGTAATAGTTGAGAATTTTCTTGCAACATTATCAGATAAGTGAATTATCAGTTCAGAGTAGGCAACATTCTTTAATTCAACAAGGTCAAATTCAGATATTCCAGATATTTCAACATCAGAAACAACTTTGAAGCATTTTTGCTTCATCAACAGAGCCTTCATCTTAAGCTGCCACATAGGGAAATCACTAGTACCATCAAAGATGCGAATCTTGGTACTAGAGTCAGATATTTTCCCAATGCGGACTCAAGAAAAAATAGATATACACAAGAGCAGATATCAGACAGAGTCAAAACACACAGCGGCAAGCACAAGACAAAATAATTCTGAGATAGGGTTTCAAGAAATCAAGAATTAAAACCAAAGGTTAAAGTTCAGATTTCAAGAAAGCACACAAGGCTCTGATACCAAATTTGTTCTCAGACTAGACGAAGTCAGAGTCACACAAATCGGATCTCAACACTCCAAAAAAAAAGCAATACATGAAGTAAAAGACACGCGATATGATGGCGCAGTTCGGAAGAAAACTTCCTAATCTGCGGGGTTTCAACAGGGGAAACCCGGTCCCAAACAGATCCACTAGCTCAGAAACGTTTTACAATCAAGATGGTTGCAAAGTAATTAGACTATGACCGGTAACATCATGCAATATACAGACAAACGACTCATAACGAACAAAACAAGAGAAAGTTCAGAGTTAACCAAAATCGATTCCAATAAAGGATACGAATGCAGAAGAAGACTCGCGGATGAACCAGTGAGCGACTTCAAACGAACAGGTTTCCTCCTTTCTCGCAATCGTCACAAGGGGATGTCATCAACTGTAGCAGTTCACCGACCTCAATCGACTCTCTCTCTCTCTTAGATTTCTCTCTAGGGTTTGAAGTATGCAGCGGGACAGTGCAGAGGGGAGGACGAAGGATATATATATAACCTTCCACCCGGGCAGATAAGCTAAACAAAAGCCGGACCTAAGAATAGGCCCAAAACAAGAGGCTAAACAAGTCAAGCCCAAGGCACAAAGAACCAACCCAAACTAGAGATAACCCAAGAAGAAATAAATCCAAATCTAATTACTTTGCCGTCATATCTTAATTATAACTAAAAGAACATATGAAAGAATTAGGATTAAATAATAATCCAACACTTGCGACGTTTCTAAGTTCGAATCTGTCAACGTCAGCCTTCGATCATGGGCTGAAGGCACCCCATAACGTATTGTGAACTGCTTAGAGCTTCATTTTGTTGAGCTTGATCCGTTTTGAGCCTGTTTGGCCCGATTACATTAGTGGGAGTACGTGGCCGGGTCCAGGGCCATATACTTTTGCTCCTGTTGCCTATACATAACCAGAAAGCTTCGAACGCTTCGGAAAAAGTTCCCCAGCAGAGCAATAACCGAATGACAGAAGAGCACCGAGAAGAACAAGGCGGTGAAGAGACTGGCCGCCTGCAAATTCCGACGGGGCGGGTCAAGAAAATCATGAAACTCGACAAAGACATCAAGAAGGTCAGTTCAGAAGCCCTGTTTCTCATCTCCAGATCCACGGAGCTCTTCATCGAATTCCTTGCCGAGAGATCGGCGGAAGTCGCAGTACAGAAGAAGAGAAAAAGTGTAAATCTAGAGCACTTTCGGGATGCCGTGAAAAAGCACCGGCCGACCAGTGATTTTCTCCTGGATTCTCTTCCCATGCCTTCTGAACCCACGGGTAAACCATTGAAAGGTAGCCGCAATCGATCCGAAGGGATGAAAAAATCTGTTGGGACACGAAAAATCGACGCTTTCTTTCTGAAATGCACTTAGGTTAGTGTTCTTTGAATTGATTTTTTGCAAGAATTACAATTTTTGTTTATGATTAGGTTTGTGCCTTTTTTTTAGTAGGGGACTATAGTACTACGTATTAACATCCCTGTTCCAGATGACTTGTGCTTAATTCTCCATTGTTAGAGAAGATTGTAACAAATTAATCAATATCTGTTATCAGTTAAGTTGCAGATGCGTGTGAGGTTGTGCTATAGAACAGTAGGATTTCTGTTCTATCCAAATGGCTATTGAAATTTGGGGTTTGTGCATAGTGGAAATAAGTTTGATGAATCTCCACCTGGTAGTCCTTGCACTTTCACAGTTTCACCAAGGGAATTGGTCACTCAGTAATAATGGCCGCTATTAGCCTATTACATTATCATCATATAGATAGTACATAGTTTAGTTCACCAGCTCATCTAATAACCCAAATAATTATCCAACGTAGTTATGCATATGGACATGTGGGAAGGGTAAATACTAAATAACTTAAATGACAAAGACCTTGAGGACGTTAACATTGGTTCGGTGGTTTCGTATAGTTGATAAAGTCTGCCTTTAGGTGGGAGTGTCTGTAGGTTATTCAATGAGTGGCCTCTCAAAATCTGCTCTGAATCTTTTCTTTCTTTTTCTTGTTTGACGCGAATGCATTAACCCTTTCCGTTAAACGTGACACCAAACATAAAAAAGTTTTTGTTATAAATGACAATATCAGTGCTTCATGGGAACACTGATACTGTGAGAAGACAAGCTCTCAAGTGAAATAAGCTGTAATGAGGCTTTCACCTAAAACATACAGAACTTCCCTGGGTGTGGAAGATCTCTGCTGCTGGCCTTTCCGGCCACATATTTCATTGTTATCACTAGCTTTCCATTCACAAGCACTTTCCTCACTTCAATGTTACTTGTAGAATGTGGCAGGGAAGGTCAGTTAAGAGGTTCTATGTGTATCCTCCCTTGAGATTTAAGGTTTCATGAGAAGAATGAACCTTGTAGGATGAGTGATTTAGATTTTCAAGGACAGAATTATTTGCTAGAGTTTATATTTTGATACCATATCATGATGTGGTGTTTTACGAGTAGATTAATACTTAGTAGTCTAATGCCTTATATATAAGTTTTTTTTTTATACTTCGCCGAGGTGTAAGCCCATATGGTTGCAGTCGTGGCTTATGTTCTTATTATGATAGTGGCCTTTTTTATGTGGATCTTAACAGTTTTGACTAAATGTTTGTGCAAGTGTGTTAACTATTTTGGCTATGTTAGTTATTCTGAACTGTTTGGAAATAGGTAGCTATATGAAATAAACACAATGACCTAATAAACATATTATTCCGTTAGTATTAATGTATTAAATCTATATACATATTTTTTCACACATCTTTTATCTTATGTAGTACTAGTATGATTTTCTTAATTTTCTATTTGAAATGACCAATAACAATAAACTAGTTATAGATTGAATTTTCTATTTATATATGTAATATAAATGTTATACGTAGTAGTATTGAAGGGGAGCCTTGCGTACTGGTTAATGTGGTTAAGGTGTTGTTGTGTGACCTAGAGGTCACGGGTCAAGTCTTGGGGGTGGCCTTTTGTCAAAATTTGACAGGGTAATGCTTGCTCTTTATACACTCTTGTGGTGGGACGCCTTGCGGGATGCCTTCATGCACAGAGCTGCCCTTTATATATAAATGTCATAGTATTAGTGTCAAATAGGCCCTTCTTAACCAAGAAATAGAAAACCTTCCATTAGAACATTCTACTAGTTAAAAATTAGAGTTGTGTCTTTGCGTTTCTTTAAATTAAAAATTAGAGTTGTGTCTAAAAACTTAAGGAAGGAGATGAGGTACCTTTAGTTTTTTTAATCCAATAAGCTGCATTTGTGTCCATTCAGCTTCCATGTAAAGATAAACCTAGTGACAAGGAAAGTGGACCTGTTCATAACCCGTAAAGGTTATGAATTAGAGATATTACAAGTATTTGCAAGTAATGGTTGTAGATGGAGCTGATTTTGTGATTTTTGTCCAGACCCCTGAGAGCGATTATAGCTAATGTGGAGTGATAGAATGGTCTACTTGATGGTTTAAATTTAAGAGATTTAGTGCCATTTAGATAAGAAATACTCCCTCCGTCCCTTATAACTTTGCCAACTTTCCTTTTTTGGTTGTCCCAAAAACTTTACCACTTTCCCTTTTAATCAATCAATTTGTGGCTTCTGTTGTTTCTCTCTCCTCTTCACAAATTTCTACCACACGGTTTTTACTTTATTATTCTACGTGCCGGTCAAACTTGGCAATCTTTTTAGGGACGGAGGGAGTAACTTTTAAAATAAAAAGATTATCGAAAAATGTCAGGCATATGCAACACAACCAAGACCGAAAAAATAGGGGGGAAACTCAAGCAGGCAACCCTCTTGAGTAGGTTATATTTCTGTTATTAACTTATAACTAGAGTAGGTTGTACTGGAAGGCTATAAATAGAATAGTATGGGAAGGAGAGGGTAGGCTGTTTTAGACTTAGTCTTGGGACTTGGGAAAGATTAGAGAATCACTTTCTCTTCTCTTTGGGAGGCTTCGGCCTTTGTTACTGTTAGTGTTCTACTCCTTCAATAAAGATTTTCCATTGTTCTTGATATAATTTCTGCAATTTGTGTATATTCTGGAGGTTTCTATCATTGGTATCAGAGCACGTTACTCGTTACTTCCTGGAGACGGAAAAAATCTGAATCATCGGAATGATGGAGGAATTCTATATGACACCGCAAATGGAAGAAAGATTTGACAATCTGAATCAACAGATGAAGGAGACGAACCAACAGATGAAGGAGACGAACGCTAGGTTGAAAAGTATCTTGCACGACTGTGAGCGTCTAAATCGTAGATTGCAGCGATCGAGCAACACCAAACATCATCGTCTTTCTGATAAACAGAGTCCATCGCAGTCGCTCACCAAGTCGCAGAAGGAGTCGCAAACTGTTTCGCACTCGCGAGAGGATTCACGCGGAAAATTGTGGAAGCTCGCAGAAAATGTTGAGCGCTAGTGGACAGTGATCAATGCATCTCAAGAGTTTCAATGGCACTGACCACGTTAGGGAAAGAAGTTGATCTGGAAAGAAACAGATCAAAGTGTGATGGTCCAAGCAAGGAAAATGAGGAGGAAAAATCTCTGAGAATTGATAAACAACCAGGGAGATACGGGGAAGGTTTCGACTGCCGGTTTTATAGGGCTATAAACTGTGAGTACATTATGATTCTCAACAAACCTACTGGAAGATTTTATGATGAATCAACTAAGTCTCCTTTGTCTCCTTAGGTTCTGGCTGATTGTTCCTCAGAATATCTGGATTTGATAAAGTCATTTACTTGGTTCTTGCAAAACCAATTGGAGCATTAAGTCCAAAACAAGATGGAGAGTCAATAAGTGATGTTGTGCTTCTTCAATGGGTTAATGATTTATTTGAAGAGTTCATAAGTAAGCACAGGGAGTATTCTGCCACCAGGATTATGATTCTGCTCCTACTGACAGTGAAGAACAGGAAAATGAAGTTTCAAGTACTGAAGCTACAAATCCAGGATTCAGTGAGGTATTGGGAAGGAAGGGGCATAAGAATGAAGATGAAGCTGAAAGTTGCGGCTGTTTCCTATCACCCTCCGTGAGGGCAAGGTGGATGTTTAGGGAGGGAGTATTGATAGGGATCGACCTATTAGACTAATAAATAGAAGAGTTAGTTGTTAGTTATATTTCTGTTATTAACTAATAACTAGAGTAGGTTGTACTGGAACGCTAAATAGAATAGTATGGGAAGGAGAGGGTAGGCTGTTTTAGACTTAGTCTTGGGACTTGGGAAGATTGAGATTCTCTCTCTCTCTTTTGGGGGGCTTCGGCTCATTGGGGGCTTCGGCCATTGTTCTTGTTCATCTCTAATAAAGTTTGCAGTTGATTCTTGATATAGTTCTCTGTAATTTCTCTGTATAATTGAAGTGTTCTATCAAGCTTCTTGTAAAAAAAACTAAGTAACTGATATGATAAAAAGAATCTGTTGCAAATAGTTACTTTTACAAAACGTTCATTTAAGTTGGTGAATAAGGCCACTTAGCCAAAACTGGTCAAACCACCCAAAAATGAATTATAAGGCTATCATGCACCAAACACACTCATTACCATTTTCATGTTTTTCCTCGTCATTCCCAATAAATGTCGCATATAAGCAATAAAAAAGTGTGGAGCCTTAAAACCTAGCTGACAAACTATCATTTGTGCCTCTACCTGCATATGAAGGGCAGATTTGAATGTCAGTTTTATAAACTCAAAACGCCATTCTTAAATCGTGTATCGGTGAATGGTCTTGTTTGTTTTTCAGCAGATTGCTGCCTAACCGCTGCATTTTGCAGCGTTTTGCAATTGAAAATAATCAGCGTTTTGTTCAAGTCGCTACTATCCAAATGGGGGCTATAAGTTTGGTGCATGTCTTTATTATTTATGCATACAAATACGGAATGAGTTTGATAAAACAACCCATTGATAATGTGAACTATGTGTTGACATGAAAATCGAGTACTAAAACTGCTACTGACATAATAATCGAAAAATTAGGAGTCGTAAATTTAAATCTTCTAAAGCATTTTGAAGGGCAGATTCTTGAATCGTGTATCGGTGAATGGTCTTGTTTGTTTTTCAGCGGATTGCTGCCTAACCGCAGCATTTTGCAGCGTTTTGCAATTGAAAATAATCAGTGTTTTGTTCAAGTCGCTACTATCCAAACGGGGGCTATAAGTTTGGTGCATGTCTTTATTATTTATGCATACAAGTACGGAATAAGTTTGATAAAAGATACCATTGATAATGTGAACTATGTGTTGACATGAAAATCAAGTACTAAAAGTGCTTTTAAAATTAAAAGCAATGACACCCATTTGTAGTACGGACTAGTGTTTACACTGTATCCTGGCACCACCACATACAAATTGCTGTCTCATGATGAAAAACTATTCTGAACTTTAATTTTGATTTGGCCAAAAACCGAAAAAAAAAATCTAAATTGAACTCTGTAATTTGCAGAACCAGGCCAATTGTCTGGATTTTGTATTGTTGGGTTTGTCGATTTGTTTCTCTAAATACTTGATTATTTGAAAACAGGCATCTAAACTTTGGTTTTCTTTAGCAGACCATAATAAGTTATGAACTCCTTGAATGTTAGGGTTGAATAGGCTTCTCAAAGCTCTAGTTCAAAGGGAAGCACTCCTCCTATAATACTTCTTTAACTCTCACTAAAAGATATATGGAGTATTACACAAAAAAATGAGTTGGATTTGCACAAAGCAATTTAGGAAAAACTTGATTGATTGCAACGTAAAAGAAAAACGCTTTTGAGGACGAATTAAATCATGCATACAGTTTTATTCGATCATCGTATTGAAGTGCATAGCTATACATGCTATGCACACATGCATTATTATTACACAGGTACTGGATGGTGCTCTTAATTATTCATACATATTTATATAGTATATGCTGGATTAAGAGGAAACCAGCAATCCTAGTAGCTCTTAATGATGATCAGCAGTTGCGAGTGCACCAACAGCGAAAATCGTCTCTGCAGCGGCCGCTGACAAGGTGCTCTCTGTTCTTGCAGTGATCGTCGCAGCTGCCGGTGGTGAAGCAGGGTCCCCTGTATGTGTCTGCCAGGTTCTCGCAGGTCCCTGCCTCTGCAGTATGCACCATCACTTCTTCTGCATCCACCATATAACGCATTTCTCAAGTTTGAACATTATTGACCAAGAAAGTCAAAGATAGTCAAAGATGGTGAAGTTTTGTAGAAGTGAGAGAGTTTTTTTATTTATTTCTCTCTTTTTCTTTCTTCTTCTCAAATTCCAGCAAGCACACATTTTATTCTTTATCTAAAAAAATTGGAGATGAAGTAAATGATCCCTTCTTTGAATTTGTGGTTCACAACCATTCTCACACATTCTTACACAACTCTCCACCACACATTTCTCACTATCTTAAAATTTGTGCCCAGTCAAATAAGGAGATAATTCCAGGGCGGAGGTAGTAGTTTTGTTGAGTGTTGCGTGGATCTATGTTTGACGCTATTGTAGCCAAGACTAATTAGAATGGATCCAAAATAACCCGTGTCTTATCGAGAAACCGTTTGATTCGTATCAACATTAAAAGAAAAAGAATGTAACCAAGCATTCCAGTCCAGCTGGTTGTGAGACCGTGGAGGTTTCGAGTTCGAAACCAGCTAGGCACACAAGGGTTTGAAACTCGATGGAGTGTGTTTCAGCTCTAATTACTCCAGACTCCCTCCCCCAGACCCCCCTGGAGTAAAATAAAAGAAAAGAAAAAGAATGTAAATAATATAAAATCGAATTGGATTGAACCAATTTTTTTTATATAATATGGTCCCACCCAAAATCGCATTGAACTGAACTGCTCTTTACCTCTCCGAAGAACCGATTATATTATACGGAGTATGAAGTGTCATACTCTGTATATATTATACTACGTATCGTATAAAAATATAGTCAGACTTTAGTCCATATTCACTTAGCCCAATCCAAATAATAACTACTATTGAATCTTATGATATACTATCCCCCGTATCTCATTAATTGCAACATTGGAATATATATACTATTCATGTATTTTACTTTGACTACATTTTATTTATTAATGTATGTGAATTATTTTTTTTGGAAAATGTTGTTAAATTCATCTTATTACTAAGTTTTATAATCTGATTTTTATTTTATTTTTACTAATACATAATTAAATATAATGACAGTCAAAGTTGTGCATTGGCAAATGTGAAATGTTGACTGTTGCAACTAAAAAGATGAAGTATACTCTTTCTTGTTTAAGTTCGTCCTTTCAAAAAAAAGTTTGTCCTACTCTTTTATTGACAATTATGATCATAGGAGTGTTACGTTAAAAATTAATTAGCATGGTGTTCTTAATTTTGCTCCATTAATGTTCACTTGAAAAATAGAGCTTTAAAAATTTGTTGCCGCCGGTATATTGCTTTATACCCGTTTATACTGGATCTATCATTTACGGAATACATTACTTAACAACCGAATTAAACGTACTGAACACCAAAAGTTGGTACGGGAACGGGACAGGTGCTATGTCTCTTTGCATGAATGATACATGTACCTTAATTTGTAAAAAAAAGGTAATTTGGACTGAAATTAAACAAGTCGTGTTTACGGGAACAGTCCCATGCTCACCCTAATTGTAATATATTAGGAATCTAATCTAATTATTTAGCTCTCTAATAATGTGTATGGTGGTAATTTTACATAGCATGCTCGAAGTGTATATATATATGCATGGAGTGGGAGTAATGGAACATTAACATTAAATTATGAGTGATAAATTAATTAAATGATGGACTTACGAGCAACAAAGAGAAAAAGGAGGAGGAGGCACAATCCACTTAGCAATTTCTTCTCCATATTTAATTTCAAGCTTAGTTAATTACTCTGATATGATCTTTAATTGCGTAGCTTAATTGAATTGGTGGTGGTGTGGTTTCTATTATATTAGCTAGCTAGCTAGGCACATATATATAGGGAGATGATGAGTAGCTTAACGTGTAAGGGGTAAAGACGTACTATACGTTTAGGCGGTGGTTCGACGGTCCACTCCTTGTTTGACGTCAATACCTCCGGCTAGGGCACACAATACCAAATTGAATTGAACTCGGATACTTCACCATCATTAACGGTTTCTCGAATCTATAACCTAGCTACGGTCGGAAATCGAAACTTGACCCTTAAGTCAATATATAATATACTTCCTTTCTTCCCTTTTAACCGCAACAGTCAACATTTCACGTTTGTCAACGCACAAGTTTGATCATTAATATCTTTCATTCCTTATTAGTACAAAATTTAAAAAATTCATATTTTGAAAATGTAGAATGAGAAGAATTTAACAATATTTTTAAAAATTTAATTTATAAAAAATATATTAATTAATAAAATATAGTCAAAGTAGAATATGTGAATAGTGTAAAAAGTTCAATGTTGCAATTAAAAGAGAATTGCAACATTAAGATACTTAATTTTGTTGATTCAAAAAAAAAACTTAATTTTGTTGTTTGAATTAAAATTGTTGCTGGTTTCACAGACTACTATACTATTTATAATATATACCGACTATTACGTACGATTCGTGTTTTTGAGTAATTTTATTCCAAAACAAGTTTTAAAATTTAAAACTAGTGAGATGATTTTTCTTTCAGACTATAATTGACATTATAATGAGTCTAGCTTGTTCCAGTCCTAGAGTTTTGTATATGACATCTAACATTATGTATAATTTCCGAATTGAGCAAAAAATCTGATCTAACGGATTGATTCCTTCCCCACCCCCAACTTCTTTGTTAATTTCAATTGATTTTATTGTGATCACTTTACATTAATGCTATTCGTAGTTTGTGAGAATCAAAATTAAACTCGTATTTTGACTTTACACGTCGATTAAGAAAATGGAAAATGTGTGACATAAAGTTAGTGCACTAGATAGATCGAGAAAGTGAGGACAAATGCTTTGAATCACAATTTTGTTTACTAAAAGGGAAGAATGAGTTTATATTTAAAGGAACGAAAAAGGAAAGAATAGATTCGAGTTACTACTTAATTACTAGTAAAAGTCTAAATGTTAGTGAAGAAAAAAACGGGTATTAGCCCTAAATAGGAGTAAAATAAGCCCAAAATTCAATATTAGGAGTACAATCATTTTATTCCCAAAATAGGACTAATATATATCTCTTCTTCCCATTCTACCTCCTTCCTATAATTTCCAATAGGTTTATTTTAATAATAAGAAATTTATAGTTTTATTTATAAAAAAATATAAAAAATAATAAAATATTTATAAAATAATAATGAAAAAGTGAAAAAATAAAATAAAAAATAATAAAATAAAAAATAATAAA